TCTCTGCCATTTCAAACCCCCACATCTTGTCCTCCATCGTCTTCCCTCTCTCCTCCCTCCCCTTCTCCTTCTTCTTCCCTCTCCCCCAGCCTTCTCCCCTCTCTTTTCCTCAGCCCATTCTCTCCCTGTCTTGTCTCCACTCTGTTTATGTCAAGTTCTACCTTTGACTTCATTTACCACACCTTCCCTTCTCATCCCCCTCCTCCCCAGTTTCTCCTGATTCCAGGTGTTCTCCGTCTAGGCTTCTCAACACTGCAGCTGCAAACACTCTTTGTTCACTCCACCTTTTTCCACTCTCTCCCCATTTACTCTCTTTTTCTACTACTGGTTTTCTCCTCCTATCGCTCCCTCTTTCCCTCCTTCCCTCCCTCCCTCCCTCTCTCTCTCCCTCCCTCCCTCCCTCCCTCCCTCTCTCTCTCTCTCTCTCACACACACACACTCATCCATCTTTTTGCTAATGTATACAATCTCCATTGTTATTTTCCATCTTTCTCCCTTTTTTCTGCTTTATACCTTTCTCCCAGTCCTCCTCTTTCTCCAACTCCATATCTTGCTTCCTCTCTCACTCTGATGTTCCCTCTTTAAATGCAGTGGCCACAGGTGTCTTCTGTCCACTTTCCCCTCCAGCTCCCACCTCCTGCTCATTCTTGGCCTCTTTTGTCCTAGCTCTTCTCCACCCCCTCTCCTTTTACTTGCTGCTCTCTATTTTATTCCTTCTCTTTGTTTAGTCGTCTCATAATGCACTGCTTCGCTATTGTTCATTTTTGCCTGTGTTCATTACATATCAGCTGTTTTCTCATTCCTGAAAAGAGCTCCAAAAGTAAGCATCCAAAAATTTCTTCACACATGTCAGCTTAATCTACAAAGTACTAAACAAAATTTTAAATAAATAGAAATTAATTAAGCTTTAACTAAATAGTGCTTTCACTCAGTTTCTGTAGGATCAGATACCCTTCAAAAGGGAATGCTTTATGCACTCCTGTGTGAACAAGGCAAAATCCATATATGCAGAAATTGAGGGCCAGAGGGAAAAGTGCACACGCAAGTGTACAAGTGGGCACCTACACAGAGACACACAAATGCCAGTGCACATCCATCTTCATGTGCACACAGAAATAAACATGCAAATACACCCATGTGTCAGTGCACACATAGATATAAGCACATACATAGCCCACACATTCAATACTTTGAGACCTTCGTTGCAGAAAATGAGCAAAAAAAGTCTAAAATGGATTAATTCTAAATATAAGAAGAGCATTATATATAATAAATTATAGTGAGCATTATATACATAGTAAATTATAATGAAGATACTAAATGTAATAAAAATTTACAAATACCTGTAAGTTTAACACTTGTATAATGTTCATTATTATTAAAACCCAGTGACCTCTTCTTAAAAAGGATTTATTTACTTATTTATTTGAAAGAATGACAGAGGAAGACAGAGAGAGAATCTTCATCCCTTTGCTCACTACCCAAATGGCCACAACAGCCAGGTCTGGGCCAAGCTGAAGCTCAGATCCAGGGACTCCTTCCTGGTTTCCCACATGAGTGACAGGGACTGAAGCACTTGGGCCATCTTCCGCTGCCTTCCCAGGCACATTAACTGGAAGCTGGATTGGACACAGAGCACCCGTACTCGAACTAGTGCTCCAGTATGGGATGCTGGCATTGAAAGTAGCAACTTTACCTGCTGTGCCAGAAAACCTGCCCTGTTGATGTTTCTTTATTTAGAAGAATGCAGAACTGTTTATTGACCACTGTTCACCAGTAATTATGATCAAGTAAATGATATGCATTTGGCTAACATCCTGATGACTACAAAGTTGTTTTTCCTGGCATATGCTAAACCAGTAACCCAAATACTGGAAAGTTCAAGTCTGCATGTGAGGAATGAGGTGGAGTAAAGAAGAAATATTACAATAGTTTATCCACGCATTGGTGCCAGCAGCTTCTCAACTGCCAGCAGCTCCAACCAGCTGATTGGGTTTCCATGAGCCAGCCTTAGACATTCGAGGAGTCATAACATTTTAGTCAACACAGCACAGGGATTTCACCTTTTTTGTAAAGGAATATTTCACTAGAAGACTCTTTAAATGTTTGCTTATATACAGCTTGCTTGGCTTTATACAGAGATCTGAATGTGTCTCTTCTTCTCATTTGTATGGGGAAGTTATTGGTAACAATCAGATATTTCTGTTTAGTAATTTGGAAAACAAACCATTGCACTTATGTAAGGATAGGTAGAGATGTGGGTACTGACATGGCTCTTTTCACTTACCCAATTTGAGTGCCCAGCTAAACACAGAATTATTATTTAATTTGAAATGCGATGGCTTCAGGATGTTTTCAGTTTAACTTGAAATGTTTATTACTTAATGTTGTGCTCAGAAAAATGGGTTTCCCCATGGTTTCTCCTTTGTTGACTGTTTAAAAACAAACAGAAGGGGCCAGTGCTATGGTGTAGCTGGTAAAGCCACCACCTGCAGTGCTGGCATCCCATATGCACACCTGTTGGAGTCCCAGCTGCTCTACTTCCAATCCAGCTCTCTGCTATGGCCTGGGAAAGCAGTAAAGAAGGCCCCTGCACCCTCATGGGAGACCTGGAAGAAGCTCCTGGCTCCAGGCTTCGGACTGGTGCAGCTATGGCCATTGCAGCCAACTGGGGAGTGAACCAGTGGATGAAAGGTGTCTCTCTCTCTCTCTCTCTCTCTCCCTCTCCCTCTCCCTCTCCCTCTCCTTCTAACTCTGCCTTTCAAATAAATAAATAGATCTTAAGAGAGAGAGAGAAAAGAAAACCAGGGGCTGACTGTGATGCAGTAGTTGAAGTGCTACCTGCAATGCCAAAATCCATATGAATGCCATTTCAAGTCCCAGTTGCTCTACTCCCCATCCAGCTTCCTGCTAATGTGTCTGGGAAAGCGGCAGAAGATGACCCAAGTGGTTGGGTCCCTGCCATCCACATGGGAAACCTGGTTGGAATTCCAGGCTCCTGGCTTCAGCCTGGCCCAGCCCCAACCACTGAGGCCTTTCAGGGACTGAACCAGCAGATGGAAGCTAGTTAGCTCACTTTCACTCATGCCCTTTCTCTCCTCCTCCCTCCCTACCTGTCACTCTTTCAAATAAATCATTTAAAATCTAAAAAATTTTTAAAAGAGGGGCCTGCATTGTGCCACAGAAGGTTAAGTCATTGCCCATGACACCAGCATCCCATATGGGTACCAGTTCAAGTCCTGGCTGCTACACTTCCAGTCCAGCTCCCTGTTAATGCACCTGAGAAAACAGCTGAAGATGGCCTGATGAAGTTGCAACAAGATGGAAGATGGCCCAAGACCTTGTGCCCCTGCACCGGCGTGGGAGACCCAGAAGAAGCTCCTGACTTCGGGTTGGCACAGCTCCAGCCATTGCAGACAATTGGAGAGTGAACCAATGGAAGGTTCACCCTCCAATGGCCGCCACAGCTGGCGCACGGCAGCCGGCGCACCGCGCTGATCCAATGGCAGGAGCCAGGTGCTTTTCCTGGTCTCCCATGGGGTGCAGGGCCCAAGCACTTGGGCCATCCTCCACTGCACTCCTGGGCCACAGCAGAGAGCTGGCCTGGAAGAGGGGCAACTGGGACAGAATCCGGCACCCCGACCGGGACTAGAACCCGGTGTGCCGGCGCCGCAAGGTGGAGGATTAGCCTAGTGAGCCGCGGCGCTGGCCTGGATACATTTTTTATTGCTGACTTGAAGAGCTATTGTTTACCTCTTCTGTGCTGCTATGGCTTACATGTTGTGGCATTCCCAGAGCAATTGTTCCTACCTGAGTTTCATACCATATGCTAATTTTTTAAAAGTCCAATATGTACACTTCACATATGTGTGAAGTTATGAGCTAAATAATGTGAACACTAACAGGATATCATATTTCCATTCACACATGTGATATGTGTCATTCACTAACCCACAAAATATTTCAATAAAAATCTATAATGTCAAAATTGTATGCTTAGTAAACTGTACACATTATATATTATTTGGAAGTAAAGCTAAAACAAAGAAAACTAAAATTGCATTTTAAGAAGTTAACAAAATTAAACATAAGACAACTTAACAAATTAAGTAATGTAAATGAAAATGATGTAAACAAAGAAATAGTCATAAGTTTGAAAACACACCTGAAAAGTATAAAATTTTGAATTTTGAAAATAAGATTTCCTTGCTCCACCAAAGACACGTCCCTGGGCACTTCCTGTCTGCCTGCTAAATACTCCCTTGCTCCTTCCTGTCCTGGTGCAGATTTCTGAAGAACTCAGCACCATTTTCCTCTTATCCCACTGCAAAATGAAATGGACCTCAGGACAGGTCCACCTCAGAAGGAAAGGAGGCTGCCTTAGACATACAGTATAAAGGACACTGCTGTCCTGGAAATTGGGTCAGCTTGGGCACCATCTTCCAAAGACAAGAGTTGGAAGTCTGGACATTGGAAGTGAAGGAAAGCATGGACAGCAAGGGAGACTCAAGGACAAACTGCAAAAAGATCTCAGATCCACTCAGTTAGGCAGAGGGAGCTTTTATGCAGAAAGACCTTCCACATGCACCTCCTAGAATTGAACCTCTCAGTTTTCAAATTAAAGGTCAGAAGCTCTCATTGGCTCATGTGTCAGGTGCCTGTTTGTTTTAGTTAACTGAAAAGTGTTCTCATTGTTCATCCAGAGATGGTGCACATATGGGAGAATTTCATTGATAGCTTCAGGTCATGCTCTTATTCATGGACAAAATTCATAAGGAGTTGGTCACAAAGACCTATTGGAATGGAGCAATTTCATGAAAGTGAGCCCTTTTATAAAGGCCTTGGTAAAGAACAGGAAGGTTATACCTTAAAATACATACAGTGCTGGTGGATTGGAGGAAGTGCACAAGAGTGAAAGGAGAGATTTAGGGAGCCCAGAATGCAGTTGAGTCAGATTCCTCCTCATTTGGGTGGAATATGGCAAGAGTTGAATGAACCAGTTACTCGATACAGCACAAAACAGACAACACATGGGTCTTTTCTCTGATGATAGTTGGTGACTTTATATTGCTTCCACAACAGGTAGAGTAGATTCTGGAAGTATTGTATTTACGGGTCATGATCACAAATGGACACACAGTTGGAAAAAATATATCCATTAAAGTAGCAAGAGAGAAGAGCCACACACTGGGACTATGAAAAACAGCCAGCAACACTTGGATGACACTAGTGATCGCATAGAAACACATAAAGGTGCTTACCAGGGCAAGGATGCTGTGGGTGGCTCTGGTCTCAGCAGAGGACCTGGAAGAGATGTCAGATCTTTGAATGTGCTGCACCTGCTGCTTGTGCCTGTACAGGATGAAAACCATGGAACCACTGGCCCAGAGCATGAGCCCCAAACATAGGACATCAGAAATGGAAAACAATGCTGCAAAGATTGAGTTTATGACTTTGTCATAAGGTGGAGAAGAACAGACTCCATTATCCAACCTCTCTGTGGCATTTGTATTTTTCCATTTGCCAGAAATACGTATAGGAAAAACGGCATTTACCAGCAAGTGCAGGGTCCAGCAGAGGATAGTGGAGATGTTAATATATCTAGGAGTTTTTTCTTTAAGCTTTGCCCACTTGGAGTTCCTGGGACTAATTGTAATGGCCTGGAAAATACTCAAGAGGCAAACACAGCCATAGGATACACCCCTGCCCACCCTGTGGATGTAGAAAATGAGTTTGCACCCAAAATCACTGAGAAAATACTCCATCCCTAAAGCTGCCATGGTCTCTGGGATTCCTCTCAAAATAATACCCAAAAAGTTAGCCACAGTCAGGTGCTTGAGAATCAAATCTATGGGCCTTAACCTGTGCCCATGGAAGTAGAGGAACAAATAGTGACTTGCGAGTGAGAAATTCCCCAGAATTCCAAGGATAACCAGGAAAAGGGAGATTATTCCAATTCTCAAATCCATTGTGGCCATCCTATTGTTTCTAGGCTCAGTATTCCTAAGTAGAGGATTCTGCGTGAAAACGTGAGTTGGGGGTGTTTCTTCATGTGTTCTTCCTGCTACCATGGTGGTGGTCTCAGGATGACAGACACATCAGCCATCATGCATGGCCAGACTCTGAGATGTTGATGATTCTGTGACCTCACCTCCCACAAGACCAATATTACCAGTTCACTTGTAGGGTGCATGACAGTGTGGGCTTCGGAGCCTTGGTATGTCTGAGAAAACATTTTCCCAGTTCCAAATTGCCAGAAACACATAGAAGTTTCTGGTTCACAGTGAACAGCTCCAAAGAGACAGAAGGAGTCTTTAGTGGGGATGTCTCCTTTTTCCATCATCCCTGGGGCAGTCAGGGTTTTCACATGGAGGAACCAGTGATAATTGAGGTCTAAATCTGGAGAGATTGACAGTAAAAGCCCCTTGTCCAGTGGGTCTTTCACTTCTCTGAGAAGTTATTTCCCCACAAATCTTTCTCTGCCTTTCTCCAGATTCCTAAACTGCACCATCAAGAATGTTATGAGAACTGCAGGACACACAGAACCTGACAAGGGAAGAGTACAAAGAAAACATAATTTTAAAAACTGATACCAAAAATTCTAAGAGACCATTTGTTCAACTGTGTACAAGTCAATTGAAAAGTCCAGATGAAATGGAGTTCTAAAGTCACAAAGAACACAAGGGGCATTGAATGTTTAACACTTTCTTGATGTCTTAGTAAGGGCAACTCACCACAGAGTAAAGATGTACAATACGTTTAAACCTAAGTAATGAATAAAAAACATATGACAGTAGGTAAAACTAAAGGGAAAATATCATTAGCATGCAGAACATGGCATCAATACATAAAAACTTTATTATACTTCACAATGAAGGGAAGATCACAAACAACATGCATAAAATTAAATAGATGGACGAGTGCTGTGGCGCAGTGGGTTAATGCCTGGCCTGAAGCACCAGCATCCCATATGGGTGCCGGTTCACTTCCGATCCAGCTCTCTGCTGTGACCTGGGAAAGCAGTAGAAGATCGCCCAAGTCCTTGGGTTCCTGCACCCACGTGGGAGACCTGGAAGAAGCTCCTGGCTCCTGGCTTCGGATCTGCACAGCTCCAGCCATTGCGGCCAATTGGGGAGTGAACCATTGGATGGAAGACACCTCTCTCTCTCCCTGCCTCTCTTCTCTCTGTGTAACTCTGACTTTCAAATAAAAAATGAATAAATCTTTAAAAAAATGAAATAGAAATAAAAATAAGAAGTGTATGGAGCGTGCACTGTGGTGCAGCGGGTTAAAGCCCTGGCCTGAAGCACCAGCATCCTGTATGGGTGCTGGTTCTAGTCCTGGCTATTCCTCTTCCAATCCAGCTCTCTGCTATGGCCTGGAAAAACAGTAGAAGATTGCCCAAGTCCTTGGGCCCCTGCACCCATGTGGGAGACCCGGAAAAAGCTCCCCACTCCTGGCTTCAGATCGATGCAGCTCTGGCCATTGCAACCATCTGGGGAGTGCACCAGCAGATGGAAGACCTCCCTGTCTGTCTCTACCTGTCTCTGTAAGTCTGTCTTTCAAATAAATAAAATAAATATTTAAAAAATATAAATAAATAACAAGTGTGAAAGGTCTTTTTGAGGGAAAATGACCAAGGATTACTTGAACAGAAAACTTAGATTTAAAGCAATAAATAATGAGGTTGGTGGCCAGGAGCAGTGTGGGGAGCCAGGCAGGCAGCTCTCCCATGTAGGTAGCAGGGACCCAAGTCTTGAACCATCACCTGCTGCCTTCCAGGTTCTGTAATGGTGAGAAGCTGGAGCCAGGAGCCAGAACCAGAAATTAAGCCCAGGACTCTGATGGTGGGATATAATCATTAACACTAGGGTAAATGCCCACTGCACAGTTTATCTTTTAATTCAGTTTTCTGTGAACATCTTGAAGCACTCTCATACATTTTGCAGAAGTATGAAGGCATGGGTTATATAATATGAACAGCTGGATAATATATATGTATGTATATATATGTGTGTGTGATTTTACTAAATTTCATAAGATGTTTCATTAAAATTACATATTGTCAAATAGAGCTGAGCATTCAGTTAAATGTATATAAGGGGTTTCTAAAAGTTAATGGAAAGTGCATATTATGAAAAAATGAGAAAAGAAGGAAGATGGAGAGTGGAAGAACTGTGAGGTTCTGTGCATCTTTGGATTCAAGAAGTCACCTAAATGCTATCATGTATCCACTGAGTAGTGAATTAAGGAGAAATTTACTGGTATCCTAATGGTAATATGGAAAAGGTAGATTATTCCAACTTTCATTAAGACATTCAGTTATTTTCTAGGCTCAATATTCATATTCTATTAAGAATATGAATATGAATATTTTATAGAGGATTCTCTGTAAAAACACGAGATGTGAATATTTCCTCATAGAGGATTAAATGAGAAAATACCACATTATTTTCCCATAAGAACTTTTTTCTCATAGTTGTTCTCTAGTGTTAAGATCATTCCCAAGACTAATTCATATCTTTAAATACCACTTACAGTGTGGAGGTCTGTGTCACTGATGCATATATACATATATATATATCCCTATTAATGTAACTTTCATAACTGTGTGACTTAAGCACTGCTATGGTTTTGTCTTTTAAACTACAGGAGGTTGTACTCACTGAGATATTTATGGCTTATGTAAATATTGGTAGAGTCTGGCTTTGAACTAACATAGCCTTTAGTTGTAACATTGTAACATTTTTTAATGTTGTAAAGTTGACATTACCATCACTTTGTTACCCTGGTTCCCAGTCTGGGGACTTTAAATAATGCAAATATATGTGTACCTTGTCTTAAATTTATTTTATTTTACATATTTTATCATTTTAACTTTATTGTCATCTATGTCTTATTCTACAGAAAAGTATCACATGAATTATTATGATGTTCTAATAAAATTCAGATACACTGAATAATTTTGAGAATGGATCCACATTAAGGTAACAGTAAAAGTTAATGTTTCATTTGTTGCCAATTATTGCAACCATTTAAGTTATACCATAGTGGGATTTGTCCTAAGCTATGTGACATGAGATATAAGTAAGTGAAAAGATACTGAAGAGAAAATCAATTAATATTCCTTAGAAAGCATATAGTTATGTTCAATATTTTAGAAAAACACTGACTCTCTGCTCAATGTGTGGTTTAGTAATGATAATAAAATACAATTTAAGTATTCAAGTGGATACTGGAGACATGTTCATGGAATAATTTAAAGTGGAAAAATGATACAAATGACCTTAGAGCATTTTTAAACAAGCAAAAACATTACATGATTTATGGGGTGACTTCAAAAAATTTATGAAAAATTGAATTGAAAGATAATGTGCTTTTTTCCATGAACATTTTGAATATCCCGTGTATTTACCACTGGAAAAGGCTAAATATTTTTTCCTGCCATCCTCTACCCTCGAGAGGGAGCTTAATTGTCAGAAAGGCTCTTTCAGTAATTTCAAGAAGAAAAATTGCCACCAATGTCAACAGACCACCAAGGTTTTCATGTAGAGCTATAATTAAACTGATTCAGTGAATTTCAACACATCCTTGTTCGAGAAAGATCATTTTATCTGATAAACTACCAATTACTTGATATTTTATGCAGAGCTGGGTGATTAAGTTATATCTAGCATATTCATTAGCAGATGCACAGAATTTCATAGAGAAACTGCATTAATCATGAAAATTTCTCTGTACTTTCTTTATGATAATGTCAAATCAGACTAATCTTCAAATTAGAGCCCTTCACATCAGGAAAAGCAGATATCTTTACAGATTGGCTCTAATTCCAGCAATAATTATCAGTAAAGTTTATGTTGAGTTAGAAGAGCAAACATTAAGTGTTCAGTATAGGGGCTGTGTGTCTGGTCTGTGCCTGCAATCTGCCAGCACCTCGGGAATTCTTCCTCCTGTCTGTGACTTAGACACTACATCATGTACTGCCTCAGAAGCTTCCCATTTCCATGCAAGAGTACTTACCAAGAATCCTGCTGCTCCTGCTGCCCTGACAGATGCTGCCCCTCTGGCTGAGGGAGGAAATACTGCCTGGTATCCTTCCTTCTGCTGGGATGGGGACCTCAGGTTGACAGGCACCTTAGCTATCATGAATGTAGGAGGATACTGGCCAGAAGTCCCAGAAATATCATTGGTGATTCTGTAACCTCACCTCCCACAGGACTACAGTCACCAAGTTCTCCTGTAGTGACAATGACATGGCAGGCTAAAGAGCTTTAGTACGTCTGAAAAAGTTTTACCAGTTCCAAATTCCCTTAAACAATTAAAAGTTTCTGGTTCAGAGTCAGCATCTCCAAAGAGACAGGTGGAGTGTTAGTGGAGGCACCCCCTTCCCCATCATCCCTGGGGCAGAAAGGGGCTCCCATGGGTGAGACAGGAACACTGAGGTCTGAGCCTGAAGGGACTGAGACTGACAGTCCCAGTGGATTCTGCACTGCCCTGAGAAGTTATTTGTCTCACAAGCCTCATTCACAGACTCCTAAACTGCACCACCAAGAGTGCTATGAAGAGAGAGTGACAAGGGAAAGGAAGAGCAAGAACTGATACTTAAAACTCATTGGAGATAATGTGTGATACGTTGTGCAAACTGCAAAAGTCTAGTTGAAATGGATACATTGTAAAGTCAGAAAAAGTGCTGGGGACCCATATGTCCTCTACTGTTGAACACTTTACTGGACGCCTTAGTGAGGGCAACTCACCATGGGGAGCAAAAGGCTGCAGTCTGCACAGCACACCCAGTGCACATACATGTAAATGTGTGTAGTGCTCCCAGTGCAGCACTGTTCACAGGGGTCAGGATGTGGACTCAGCCAAGCTGCCCCTCATCAGATGAACAGGTAAAGAAAATGTGTTGTTCATAGACACAAGGGAATATTATTCAGCCATAAAAAATGAAACCCTGACATTTGCAGCAAAATGA